ACAACTGAAAACAGGAACTGTCCTTTTCAAGTATACTTCCGTTGTCCATAGTTTAACAGGGATGGTAAAGTCCCATGAGTATCTCCCCAGTCTGTAACTAGTTGTTAATGGGACAACATAGGCTTTATGGAGGCGACCACCGCTGCTAAGAGATCATGATTGCAATCGATGTGTCATGACCTGAAGATACCAACTTACACTTCTTTCATCTTCTGGCCTTTATATTGTGTTCATGCTTTATTTCACAATAGTCTTAGAGGGTTGATCTATAAGTATACTGTTCATATCTGTCCTCTGAATCACCATTTAGTCTAAGCCTCCCAAACATCTACAAACCTGTGAATTCATCTCTGTTCAGGTCCAAGGCAAACTCTGATTAAAGGTGAAAGTAGATTTTGTCTAGAGGCACTGATGTAAGTATTTAGATAGCTATTTGGTCCCATGTTAAGTTAGCTAAGCCATAGTAGTAAGGTCCCTCACAAGAGTCTATGTCTCCTTAAGCTGTGGTTTTGGCTGGGCTTCCAGTATTTGTCATTTATATATTCCCTCTTACAGTAAAAGCCTTAAATTCACTCTGAGGAGCTTGATTCTTTTGAGGTAAAAATTTCTCAGGAAATTTTATATGCAGCAGTGTGAAACCATAGTAACACAAATTGTATTATTCAAATTTCAAATATTTAACCAATTCAACCAAAAATTTAAGAATTTGATGAAATATGCCAGTACAGTTTGAGAGAATATTTTATTCATTTAATCCATTCTGTATTTTAATGCAAGTCAAAGATTCTCAGAATTTTATCTCATCAGCTCTTTGAATTATAAAATATATTTCTCCTATTTTGAGCAGGTAATAGCCATAGATTTTCCATTATTACAGAAATAACTCTAAAACTTTTTACATGTTCATTTTTTACCTCTGATAGAAATGTATTTCTAGATTTGGAGACTAGAGAATTAGCCTTTTCCTGTTAGCTTTTAATTGTGAAAAAAAACCTGAGAGATAGTAGGGGATAAATATAATTGGAAAGCACCTAAGTCTGTTGAGAGGTGTTTCAGATAGTCTGGAACTCCACTGTAGCAAATACTATTTGATTTCAACTGAAACCAATTCAACTGGCCTGTAAAAAGACAGGGGTTGGAGAGATTTAGTGGAACAAAATATGGTTTTATTATATGATTGCCAATATTGGTATCTGAGTCGCCACAGAGCTTGGAAGAGGTTTGAACATCACTGGAAAAAAAGATGCTATTGTTTTATATCTGAATCTTCATATGCTAGCTTTTCATACTCTTATTTGGGTTTCTGCTTTGTTTTGTTTAGTACTGTTTCAATTTCAGCAGAAGTAAAAGACAACCCAAGCTTCCTTTACTTTGTATTAGTCTCAGTGTTGACCTCAATATTTATAAACAGCAGAATTAACTTCAGTTTAGCCATTGGTTCAATTACCTTTGACTTTAGGGTAAAGCTAGTACCGTGTATTTGTGATATGTAACTTTTACGTAAGGCCCTGCAGCTATGGGATATGAAATTTACATAGAATAATGTATATACTGTATCCATCTAATAGGAGGCATATATGAGCTTATTTGACTAGGTGATACTCCTCTAAGAAGACTATAGATATTAGACAGGATGTGTTACATATGCAGTTCTACAAGATATGATAATAAACCTTAAAATACCAGTAGATTCATCAAGTAGAAATATGTACACAGAGATTTGAATTAATAACTAGCTTAGAGATACAGGGAGATTCTCTGACCTGTACATCCAGGTACATGTTGATGGGGTAGTTAGTTGGCCATGAGGTTTTCATGATTTGCCATCATTTTTCTTGTATGTTGGTGTTTGTGACAGATTACATCTATAAGTAAGATAAAGCCCCAATGGGAAAACTTCTGTGACTGGAACTCACTTTTACTTGCACAGAGTCAAGAAAGAAAATATGTGAAGGTTTGTGGTACCTTTCAGACAAATTAGACATACTTTCGCTAATGTGGAACTATTGAACTTCTTGTTAGTAATCCGAATTAATATGGGTAGTTGACCAGATGATGAAATTTGAAGAGTTTGTGTTTTGGTTTTTTTTTTTTTCTTTTTTTCTTTTTGACAGTAAGTTTGAAGTAAAAAGCATTGTGATTTAAATGTATAAAATCTGAAACACAGTTTTAATATAAAATTTACATTAAAATCAACTTAGAAAGTATAAGGAAATAATTGAACACAATGGCTAAGATCTCCTTTCTTCATTCAAGAACTATTTTTGGAAAATTTACTGAATTCCAGAGACTGAAGAATAATATCCCATTCATCATGTGGCTGCAGGGAGCTGTAGTTTTGTGTGATTGGTGAACAGACAATGACAATATCCACCAATGCTGAATTTGGCTATTAAGTGTTCACCTAGCAACCTCAAAAGTAAAACCCAAGACATGCTATAAACTCAGTAGAGGAGAAGAATATGTTGTAAAGTTAAAAAAAAATAAGTCCTTTCATATTGAAGAGGACGATGAGTATGTTACTGAATATACTGACCCAAATGTAAACCACATTTGGAAATATCTCCAGGACACACTCATAAGTGAGATTTAATCTTAGTAACCTTTGATACAGTCAAATTAAAACATGCAATTAATCAGCCCCACAGACTTAGCTCTTTTGTATTTTACAGGTAGCCTCTTTTAAACCCCATATCTATTTCTCCATTCCACTCTCCCTCATATCATTCTCAGTGTGTTATCGACTGAATTCTAACTGTCTAAAATATGGAGTCTAAATCTGAAATAAGTTTTTCAAATTAACTCTGTGATTTGAGGTTTTTTCCAATATCCTTGATTAATATTGAGGATTTCTTAATCATGAGGCATAGTGCAATGTTTCAGAATTCCATCCTGGTCAAACTCACTTGTTTTAAACAGTGAAGATATTTGTATATAAAGACAGTATTAATACAAAAATTAAAATTGCAAAAAAAGATTATAATAGAATTTAACTAAATATAATAGAATTAAAACATATGTAATAATAGAAACATAACAACTATTTAGTTTCCAGCATCTATGGATAGACCAAGTTGATACCTCTTAAATATAATCTTTGAATTTATTATATTATGTCAATGAATTTCTACATGGTCTTATTAAATAAAAAGTATAGAGCCAAATATAGGGGTGAAAGCCTTAGAGATCAGGGAAATAGGAATAGCCACCATCCAACCTTATCTCACCAGCTCTGCAGCTTCCAAATGCGAGCTACTTCCTGTCTTACCTGTGCCTTTATTGCCTTGCTGTTCTGCCCTCTCATTGGCTACCTTAGCCCAGCTATCTCACTTCCTTGTCACTGCCTGTCTGTCCAGACCTCCAGTTCTCTATGGTTGGTACCAGGATTAAAGGCATGTGTCACCATACTTGGCTCTGTTCCTAGTATAGCCTTGAACACACAGAGACCCAGTTTGCTAAGTGATCGGATTAAGGGCACATGCTAAGACTGCCTGACTTCTATGTTTACTTAAAATGGCTTGCTATTTCCTCTGATCTCCAGGCAAACTTTACTAAAGCACAAATAAAATATCACCACTTATCAGCACAAATAAAATATCACAATATTGTATTATTTATACTAAATATGCATACTCATATACAAATTTTACATTAATATACTTTTACTAAAATGTCTTCCTAATTTAAGACAAAGACCCACATTTTATATGGGAGTTTTGCAGAAAGCCTCTAGTAAACTTTATTATATATTTCTACACTTTGCTTATAATTGCTGGTTTCCTAAGGGTTCAGTGACAGCCATGTGACATTTAATTTTTAAAAAGTGGTTTAGGCCTAGGAGAGGCAGACTTCAACTATCATTGATTCTATTCTAGCATTTTGTCCAAGTATAACCACATGGATCCTTCTGTATCCCTCCAATATCAGTCTCTTCTATCATCCTGAAGAAAAAGGATTGCCTTTGATTTCATGACAGTTGATTCTTTTCTATTTCAAGGCCAACTTTGCCTTGCTCATCACCTGTTTTCTCCTTTGCTGATCTTTTGCTCCCTGTGGCTCACAAATGTCCATTAGAATTGTGGGAATTTATTTAATTATTCTTTTCATTTTATTGTTCAGACCTTTATTTATTTTGCTTTTAGTTTCTTTGGCTCCAACACCCCATATTTCAGTCTTTGAAATTTGTGTTAGTCTTTCCCTCTCTCCCTTAACCTCTCTCTCTCTCCCTCACTTCTTCCCTCCTTCCCTCTCTCCCACACACACACACACTCTCTCTCTTTCTTTGTATCTCTCTCTTTAATCAGTGCACTTTAATAACTCCTAGACAAGTCAAACTCAATCATTTCTGTTTCCAAGCTGAGAGCATTGTCCTTTGAATGAATGCTGTTCTTGGTTCCCTGGAATTTTTTTTTTCAGTTAACACACATGTGATGTGTGGTGAATTTTGGCTTGCCAGGGCCATACTATGTGAAGAGAGTACGTGCATTTTAGAGCCCCTTTCACAGCAAACAAAAGACTTATATAAATGTCCAAATGAGTGAATGGACACTTGGAGGGTTTATCAAAAAGTCAAAGGTTATTTAATAGCTTCTAGGTGGAATTTTCCTGATATTTATGCAGCTATTCCAAAAGTTCTATCACAGGGTCATATTTTAGAAATAATGCAACCAATAGGAGCTTTAAATTCCATTTTATGCTGGGGCATCATATGGAAAAGCTCTGAGCTACACATGGGAAAATATAGAAGATCAAACAAAAGCTTCAACATATAAATAAGTGCATAAGCTGGAACACAGGCAATGAAGTAAGTAAATATTTGTTTTGAAAGGTTTGAAAGGTGGTAAAACAGACTGAATGGAGAAGTTGATATTTCAGCAGAGAAACCCAGATATATTTACCTGTGGAAGTAAGATGGGAAGAGTATACTGAACCCAAGAATGTGAAAGTCACAAAGTTATGTTGTCATAAGGCTATGTGCAAAAGCCAAACTCCATCCCTGCACACTTTAACAATATGTACACTAAAATTGGAGTAATATGGAGAAGATTAGCATGGTACCTGTGCAAGGATAATGTACAAATCCATTGAACACTTTATTATTATAACAACAAAAAAAAATCTGCAAGAATAATTTTGGTATAAAAGCAACCTGAGATGAGTTGAAGGCATAGACAAGGACCAGACTGCCATGCTCCTAAAATAGTGGCACATATAGGTATTACCTGAACATTCACTGGATACTTTCATGAAATGTCCAAATAATTTATAGTGTAAATGTGTGATCTCTGTACATTAATGAATGTAATTATTTACATTCACTTAAACATTTTGATATGTGCATTAATAATTGAGTTGATTTGGGAAGGTGTAACGTATTTTCTGATTTAGCAAGTGTTTATTGAATGTGTTGTGGATTTTTCCCCTGTATGAGTGTGTGTGTGTGTGTGTGTACCTGTATGCCTATGTGTCTGTGCATCTGAATGCTTGTTTGTGATCACAACTGTGTGTTCAAGAATTTAACTCCTATGTCGGATTCCAAACACTGCATTCTATCGCATTTCATCTATCGATGTTCTTGCTTTTTGGTCTTCCCACTCTCTTTTCCATACCGTCCCCTGGGCCTCTGAGTGGGAATATAAATGTCACATCTAAGGGTGAGTACTCACCAGTCTCTTGTTGTCAATATTTTTATTAGTTAAGAGTCTCTGCTTGCCCACCCACCAGTATCAAAAAGACTTGAGATGACATCTCAGAGCTGTGTCATTCTATGGATATAATATTTTGAAAGCAGTTCAATTATGCATCTCTTTTAAAAAATCAGTAGTCAATTTTCAGGACCATGTTAAAGGTGAATCTATCACACTTCTTAATGGGGATTTGAGGTTTTAAAGAAATGGCTCAAGCCCCAAATTTTGAGTGGAAAATGACTCACCCAACTATGGCTCTCTTTCAGCTATACTTTAAACATTTTTTGAAAACTATAAAACATCTTTAACTTTCATTTTTCAACTCATTACACTATTGTATTCTTGGAAAGAAGGAACTTTTGTTTATTTCCTGAAGCGAACCAATATTTTAGAAAAATAAATCTTTTAACATAAAATAAAAACCCTTCACTGATATCTTTTGTTTTCCAAGGTTACAGTAAGAATGAGTGTGCTTAGTATAATGGGACATAATCTGTTAGATTTATTCCTATAAACAACTTGACATATTCTTAGAGAAATTATTCTATAAAATCTATCTCCTCATGCCATATTATCCACACATGAGGAGTTGCATTGTCTTGAACAAATATTGACTCTCACTTGCTTTATCTTGACTTCTGACAGGATTAGCAGTTTTTTCTCAGAAACAGAAGAATTTTGCCCACACTTAAGGAAGAGTCTTTGCAGAAGCAAATGATTCCTGTACAATACTGCATGTACTCAGCACGTTTAGGTACCCTAGAACTCTGAAAACAAATGCTTTTGTGTTCATGGAGTGTCCTGAGCTTCACAGGAAGCAAGTACAATGTGGTTGAAAACGCCAGACATGGTGAGAAGATGCCCTTCTCTGTTGTTTTGTGCTCTTTAAAAAAATTGTTAATTTTTTTCTCAAGTTGTTTCTATTCCTTAATCCTCCTAGACACTGTACAAAGTGTGACATCAATTTCTAAAAGGATAAAACAAATTATAATTTTTAAAATATTCTATTTCACTAGTTTGGGTTGGTTGTCTCTGTAGGTTTCCTCTTCATGATCTTAATGTCCCTTGCTCACAGAATCCCTCTTCTCTCTTTTTAACTGGACTCTTGGAACTTGGCCTGGTGTTTGGCTGTGAATCTCTGCATCTGCTTCCCATCAGTTACTGGATAAAGGCGCTATGATGACATTTAGGGTATTCACCGATCTGATTACTGGCTTCCAGTTCAGGCACCCTCTCCACTGTTGCTAGTAATCTGATCATCCTTATGGAGCTTCCATGGGACTGGACTAGGCCCTTGCATAGCGAGACAGTTAGGTAGCTTGATCTGCTTAAGGGGCCTCCTAGCAGTAGGATCAGAATCCATGCCTAGTGCAGGCTTTTTGGAGCCCACTACCTATGGTGGGACACCTCAAACAGCCTTGAGGAAGGGGGAGGAGCTCTGCTGACTCCCCATGGGAGGGCTTACCTTCTTGTAGGAGGGAATTGGGGGGTTGTTGAGGAGAGGCAGAAGGGGCATGAAGAGGGAAGAGTGGGACCTGTGATCGGTATGTAAAATGAATAAATTTTTTTCTAAGTAAAAATTGTTCTATTCCATATTCTCTTTAAGGAGGATCTGAAGCCTACTGTACTCCTCTGACCTTTTGAATTCTCCTCTGTAGGAGGGTCCTATTCTCAAAGCCACATTCAGATGCAGTGGGAGTCACAAAGTCATGAAAGTTCACCAAAGAACAGATATGACTCTCCAGAGTTTGGAGCTCCAGCCTCAAGTTTAGTCTCGTGATGTGAATCAGCAAGTAAATTATGTCCTACACGGTTCTTGTCACCAGAACAAAGACCAACCTAATATATTGAAAGGGACTTAGAGATGCATTAAATGAATATTGAAAGTTTTTGAGGTTTCAAAATTTGTTAGGTTGTCTTGGAGCAGTTGCCTAAATGTGTATGTTTATTCAACCCTGTTGAAAATAGTATATTCCAAATCTGTATTTTTTGAAAACTTTTAATAAGCCATTAACTTAATTTATGACTACATATAAATTTATACTTTATGTGTCCACTTTAACAAAAAACAAGGTAGAATAAAGTTTTCATTAACTCTTTTTCCTTGCTAAATAATATTTAGGGAGAGGATATAAAATTTTGAAAAAGCTGCATGGTCTTCAATGAACTTAGAAAGGATTGTACAGAGCCAAGAAGGAATCATAAATAGCCTGACAGAAACCCCCTTTATTTCATCTCTAACCATTTCAAATTTATTTTATTAATTCTTATGTGATGGTACCAGTAATTTTGCACTTATAAAATGGGACCTAGACAAAATGTATATAAAACAAGATCTTATTAAACATTTATAAAATAAAAGTCTTTTTAATACATTTACAAAACAAATTTAGACTTTCTGCTTTGGGCAAATGATTTAGTCCTTGTAATTGGTAACTTACTCTTTTTAAAGTGGCCAGAAGAATGCTTTATGTTAAAGGGTTGAGATAATATATGCAGCAGGCTTGCTCCTGTATGGATAGAATAATAAATAGCTAAATTATATAATTATTCTCAGTAGAAATTAAATTACTTTTCCAAACAGGTTGAAATCCCATCCTTTCAGCCCTGCTTGTTTTAGAAAAGGCCCAGCTGTGTTACACAGACTGACCTCAGAGTCATAATTCTCCTGACTTAGTTTCCACCTCTTTTATTTTGAAATAATTTTGTTTTATAAAACAAGGTACAGAGTAATGTAGTACTCATATGTCACTGGTATAGTTTTCCTAAAAGTTAACATTTTATACACCTTGGCTCATTTACAATCCATTAAGCTTGAATTGACAGAGTCCCATTAGCTGATGTACAGACCCGATTTAAATCTAATGAGCTCATGCAACACTGCTTTCTGAGTTTCAAATCTAGCATAGTATGTTTCGAATGTCATGTGACTTTAGTCTCTTCTAAGTTGTAAATAAATTCTTCATCATCATTGTTAGGTTTCATCTTTCTGAAGAGATCTTGCGTATTTTGTATAATTCCACTCAAGTAGGATTTGTATGTTTTGTCATGATTAAATTAAGTTGTAGTTTGTAACATGCCAAAGGACAAAAGTCACCAAAGGATGTGTTGATGTTGTTATTGACAATGTTAGCAAAAGCCATATGTCAATGCGTCTTCCTGATGGGAATGGACGAATGTGACACCTGACAAGTTCTCTACTATAAAGTAGCCACTTTTCCCTCTGGAACTAATAGACATCTTGCATGGAATTATATTTTAGCTATGCAAGTTCCCTCGTCCTTATCACTGCTTTTCTTATGATTTTGCTCATCACTGATGATTATTTCCTGTAGTTATTGTAATGTGATGTTTGCCCATAGTGATGATCTGTATCTTTAGCCACTCAAAATTAGCTATTCACTGATGAATTGCTATCATCATGGATTCATAAACAAATAGTCATCTTAGAGTGGTGGCTGAGGGGTAAGATGGCTCAGCAGTTAAAGTCACTTGATGCTAAAAGTGACAACTGAGTTTAATCCCTGGAACACACATGATGGAAGGAGATAACTGACTCCCACAACTTGTCTAATGACTCCAAACTTGCACTCTGGTGTGTGAAAGCTCCAAAACACGTGTGCGTGTGCGTGTGCGTGTGTGTGTGTGTGTGTGTGTGTGTGTGTGTGTGTGTATATATGTATATATATATATATATATATATATATATAGAGAGAGAGAGAGAGAGAGAAATATATTTTATACATTGTCATCAAGTGAAATAAAGTTTAATTTGCGCAGGTTTATTTTTTTGCCAAAATTTATCATTTACTTAAATGGAAGTCAGATACATTCTTAAAATTCAGATGAAGGCGACAAACACATTTAGTCTGTGGGTGTGCTAGATCCGTGCTATAATGCAGCTTCTGAGTCTGAACCAAATCTGTCAACTCTATCATCCTTAGAAAGTACTGTGTGAGAAGCACACGATCCTTCCTGAGGCATCAAATTATCCAATTTTTAAATATAAGAATTATATATGGTTCTATGACTGTCATACCCAATAGTTTGTGACCTCAAATCATTATCTGACAGTGGTTCTAAGGTATTATATATTTTTTCGAGCCACTAAGTCAAGGGTGAAAATCCCTACATTTCCATTCATGTGGGGGCGTGTCTCTCCTCCCCTCATATGTGTGTGTGTGTGTGTGTGTGTGTGTGTGTGTCTTTGTGTGATAGTTATTCTTCATTTTCAAATGATTTAGAATCACTATACAAACACAGCTCTTGGTGTTTCTATGATATTTCTGAGAATGTTTGACTGAGGAGCATAGACTTACACGGAAAGTTGAAAGCACCCACCTATGGGCTGAGGTATTCGACTCAGTAGCACAGGTCTTTAATCCTAGCATTCTGGAGGCAGAGATCCATCCTGATC